CCCTGAGGAGAAGGACGTGGGAGTGTTGGTTGGTGAGAAGCTGAACATGGCCTGGCAACATGCGCTTGCAGCCCAGAAAGCCAACTGTACTCTGGGCCACATCAAAAGAAGCGTGACCAGCAGGTCGAGGGAGGTGATTCTCCCCCTCTACTCTGCTCTCATGAGACTCCACCTGGAGTACTGCGTCCAGCTCTGAAGTCCTCAGCACAGGAAAGACATGGACCTGTTGGAGTGAGTCCAGAGGAGGGCCAGGAAGATCATCAGAGGGCTGGAGCACCTCCTGTATGAGGACAAGCTGACAGAGTTGGGGTTGTTCAGCCTGGAGAAGAGAAAGCTCTGGGGAGACCTTATTGTAGCCTTTCAGTACTTAAAGGGGGCTACAGGAGAGATGGGGAGGCACTCTTTATCAGGGAGTGTAGTGATAAGATGAGGGGGAATGGTTTGAAATGGAAAAAGGGTTGATTTAGATTAGATATTAGGAAGAAATATTTTACTGTGAGGGTGGTAGGACACTGGACCAGGTTGCCGAGAGAAGCTGTGGATGCCCCATCCCTGGAGGGGTTCAAGGCCAGGCTGGATGAGGCTTTGAGCAACCTGGTCTAGTGGAAGGTGGCCCCGCCTGTCGCAGGGGGGGTGGAAATCAATGACCTCTAAGGTCCCTTCCAACCCAAATCATTCTATTATTCTATGATTACGGACATTGTTCCAATGCCTCTTAAACTCTGACAAGCTTGGGGCATGGACCACCTCTCTAGGAAGTCTGTTCCAGTGTCTGACCACCCTCTCAGTAAAGAAATGCTTCCCAGCATCCAGTCTAACCCTCCCCTGGCACAGCTTTGAACCATTCCAATGCATCCTGTCACTGGATCCCAGGGAGAAGAGCTCAGCACCTCCCTCTCCACTGCCCCTCCTCAGGAAGCTGTACAGAGCAATGAAGTTGCCCCTCAGCCTCCTTCTCTCCAAACTGGACAAGCCCAAAGTTCTCAGCCGCTCCTCCTGGGACATTCCTTCCAGCCCATTCACCAGCTTTGTTGCCCTCCTCTGGATTCATTCAAGGACCTTCACGTCCTTCTTAAACTGTGGGGACCAGAACTGCACACAGCATTCAAGATGAGGCTGTACCAATGCTGAATACAGGAGAATCACCTCTTTTGACGAGCTGGTTATACTGATCTACACTGACCAAAACCCTTTGCATTTCTTTTACAGTTCTACCATAATATTCCTTTCAAACACTCTCAGAAATCACTGTGTTAGCCTAAAACTAAAGATACAAGTAAGAAAAGGTGTTTTGGGACTGCCTGGCTGTAGCCTGTGCCAAAGTAAGTGCTCTTCCTAGCTCACTGGATTCAACAGTAATCAATATCTAGGACTTTACTTAGTTACCTGCTTTTTCCATTACAGATCTGGAAATGAAGAGTAGCAACTTAGCTACTCAAGGTCTAATAATATTAATGTGAACAAGAAAGTCCACAGATAGTACTGAAATGCAGTAAGATTTTAAATATTGCGCTGTAAAACTTTTCCCATTGTGTTTTGTGTTAGATCTCTTCCCATGTAAAAAAAAAAAAAAATCCAACCAAAAAAAAACCAGCCTTTGGGATCTAGCAATACATAAAGAGGACAGGAACATATTCCATATGAAAAATCTGCCTCCTGTCAAAAACCACTCTCTGTAGCTCAGACAGAGCTGTACCGATTCATGTGTATTCTTTTTTTCTTTCTCCCATGCAAACATATGTAAGAGTTAAATACAAGTATGCAGAGAAATAAGATTTTTCTCAATGAACTTTTGTGTAATATTTGTGCTGTAACGAGATACAGCAATTCACCTATCAATGACGTAGAAGTTGTCACCATCATCCCCCTGATCAATGACATGTTCCCCTCCTTCAACCAGCTTTTCAAACATCGCATCCAACACCTGAGACATCTGTTCCTATTTAAAAGAAGAAAGACAAGAAATTATCATCTGTTTTTAAAAATTTTACTCTTCAAATTAACTGTTCAGCCTCCCAAATATACAGATAAACGTTAGAGACATAGAAACATTCGTGCTACAGAAATGTGTGGATCAATCAGAAAGACAGTTTTATTTAGTATTCAGTGTTAGCTTTTTCCTCTTCCAGTGTTCAGAGCTCAGCTGCCCTTCTTGTCCCTGACAATGATAACATAGATCTTGTCTGCAATATAAATTGCTCGTGAGCATCCAAAGATAGAATTTCACCCATCACAGTGTCACGACATTATACAGTTAAAAGAAAAAACCATATCCCTTATTGGAAAAAATACACTTACCTGGTTTTGTCTTTAGAAATATTTTACAGAATTTAAAGTTTCAAAATGATTGTAAAGTATTTTGAAAATCTAAATTATACAATGCCTGCACAATGTTGGGACAGATGTAACCATAAAGGTCTGCAGTGCTTTGGTTGAGGAAGGAAATACTGAACTCCTTGGGAAGTAGGAATTTACACATGGCTATACAACTACTTTGTTAATTTGACAGAATAACAAATGTTTAGAGAGAAATGTTAACCGACTAATAAAATGTCAACATCTGAATTACAACTGTCTAATGACAAAAACAAATCACTAATTATATAATTTGTCTTGTTTGGTGTAAATCTGCTAATATTTTACTAGTCACATAAAAAAAACCCCAAACACAGCTCATTGTTCATTAACTATATAAATCCTAAAAAGATAATAATTCAAATTTTATTTTCAGTTTATCCAGCAATTTGCCTAAAATTCTGACAACAAACAGAAAGAAGGACTTCTTCCCAGTAAAGGTAAAGCCACCGTGGTTAGTTGCTTCGTTTGGTGGGGTTAGGAGAGGAAGGTGCAGGAGGGTTGAGCTGTACGTATGTATGTCATACTGCACTGCATGGCCTCAGGGACAGAGAATGTCCTCTGACCTAATTTGTTGCTACCGATTACTGAACTGAATAAAGGTGACAAGAATGGAAAATTTAAAAATAATCTACCACAGTCAGACTCTGCCTTTGGGCATCCTTCTTAATTTCCCGACAAACAATATCTGTATTTCTAGTCAATCAAATAACATTTTCCCTGTAATTAAAGCCTTCAAAATACTGAAGTAAGGAAACGTTTAATATGAAGGACATGTGACTGTGACTGATAACTAGTGAAAAACAGTTATTCTTTACTCTTTAGTCACAAAATGTGTAAATTAACTCCACAACCTCTCTGGGAAACCTGTTCCAGCATTTGACCACCCTCGCAGCTTTTCTTAGACTTAAACACATTTTTTGTATTTCAATTTGTACACGTTGTGTCTTATCCTGTCGTGGCACCACCTGAGAGCAAGTCTGGTCAACAGACTGGTGCCACCATCTGCTGTAGAAGGGCACTCTTGTCTCTCCAGTGGACCCTTGAAAAATGCTGTCACACTGCTGTTTATCCTGCCTGATGCTATGTAGTCCTCCTCCCATCCTTCTGCAGTTCTTTCAGCTGGCAGCTCAGCGCTCTGACCACAGCATATCTCCCACAGGTGAAGTGACCATTGTCCCCCTGCCTTCAGGAGAGACACCTGCCACTCCCAGCAGCCTGAGACCAAGATGGTCACATCCTACCTCTGGATTTGGCTTGAAACCTTTAGATGTGCCATGGTTGGCTGGTCCAGCTCATGCTGGGGAGCGCTCCCTGTCACCCATCATCACTGTCATTGTGACAGCTCTAACAGTCCTGCGCTGCCTTGCGCACTGTTTCAAACTCCCATCTGCACAAACTACCTCCACTGCAAAGCCTCTGCTAGTCTGTCCTCTGCTGTGCTGATGTGTGCCGTCTGTCCTCAACAGCAGTAACGCAGATGCTCTTCATCAACACTTCACTAGGAGCCTGATGCTCTCTGACTGTCTTCATGTGTGTTAAGTATTCTAAACACCACACTTGCAGCAAAAAGTAGTTGCCTCCTCTTCCCCTTTCATCCACGGTGGCCACATGAACCTCTAGCATAGAAACAGACCTTTAATGTCAAAAAATATCTCTGGTAGTTATCATGGTGACTATGAAGAGCACAGCACCTAAGCAGAGGTTTTATTAATCACTCTGTTATGAGTTCGGAAATATTTTACTGTGCCTAAAGTGAAACTCAGATACCAGGTATGTTTATGAGTCTAGGCCTGTGGTGATACCCACGCATAAGTAAGGCATGTGTAAGCCTGATGTATTGCTATTTCATATCTGAAATGTACAAAATCATGTGCATGTTTACAATCAGTTACAAACAAAAGACATGACATGAGATGCAAAAGAACAAAGTCCCAGATAGTAATGAGAACTGGTTTACTAAGGACACTCCCCTGCAACAGTGTCTGATTGCATCCTTCTTGCCAGGTCAAGTGAAAAACTGCAAATAATCATTCATAGCTCTCCTAACACATTCTGTATCACATAAAGTACTGTCCTCCAAATGCATGTTGCATTATTTGAAAATAGCATGGTAGCCTCCATTTCTTTCAAGTCGACAAAACAAACATGGCAATAAAATCTCAAGACAATTAATTGAAAAAGAATATCAGTTAGATAATGGTCACTGAGTATGATTAGAACTGGATTTTATTTAGTATACATTTCACAGAGATTAAAAATACTGTCACTTGTATGTCCTTGCAAGAGAGCTTTTGATTCATTCAGGAGAGCTGGCAGACCATGACATGTCCTTCCTAACTGCCAATGGCTTTTTTAACTGCCAGACTACCAAGTGATTTGCTACCACTGTGCCAGGTATGTGTCTTCTTAATATCAGTTTATGGAGTTACTGTGAGCGATTTTGTAAAGGAAAAAGAAGAAAGTTCTCCATATTAACCTCAACCACTCTTAAACACTGGGGCTTCCACCATGCATCAGTGTTTAAATTGCTGATACAAACATTTGTTGTCTGTCAAAGTGCTCCCTTATTCTTTATCAACAAAGGTTCTGTAGATAAAATGGAAAGCAGGACACAGTTGTCACCAGAAGTCACGACAATGACAAATGTAAAAAGTAACTTCTGGAGCTGGTAAATGCCAACTATTAAATTGAATGCAGTAAGTCCCAAAAGTATTGGATGATATGTTAGGATTATATATGCTTTGGGAATCCCCCAAAAGAAGGATGAGTGTACTGCTGGAATACTCCCTGGTAGACAGGAAATCTCAGTTAATTTCCCTTTTAGATGCAAGACATCCTGCACAACCTAGGCAGGCATCAGATTGCCTTGCACTTCAGTACAACAGTAGTAACAAGACTTGCCTATCTCATATGACTTGTAAAAATTATAAATGGTCTGAGACACAATGAGACTAGCACATGAACAAAGTGAATCCACAGTTCTTCTGTTGCCCCTGAGTTCACAAACCACTTTATTCTTTACTCCTACAACCATTTTACTAAAATGAGCTCAAGTTAAAAGAGCATCCTGTTGGTCACCTTTCCTCACTTTCAAGCAATATGAAGTATCAACAAATTAATCTTCAGCATCATATTAAGAGAGTAATGAAGCAGACAGAATACCAGAATAGGAAGGGGAGAGAGGGGGAGAGATACAGAAAAATTCAGCAAAACATATGCAGGGAAATCATGGGAACAAAAAGAGTTCTTAACTTAATCAATAAGTCAGGACCTTGGAGAGGAAGAGTAAATTACAGAATTCATGTCTTGAGATCTCCGCATTTGTTTTTCAGAACACAGCCATGTACATATACTCACCTGGAACTCTGATATCAATGTTAGCAGCATTATTGATTCCATTCAAGATGTTTAGCTCCTTTGTGTAATATCCACTTGTAAACTAATCAAAAGGCATTTATTTCTTCACTATGAAATAATCTAATTTATATTTCAATGTATAATCAATATTTCTGAGTATTATTATTTTTCTTGAGAATTTGCCTTATCGTTCCTCCACCTAGTTATATGTTAAGTTAGTATTTGGCCTCTCAGTTATCGTGCACATGCCCATCAATCAGGCTCAGTAACACTTTTCATATTTTATAACTAGCCCCTCTGAGCAAGTTATCTGACTTTCTAGCAGTTTGCTAAAAAAGACCATAAATAATTCAGAGTTGCAAGTAGTTTCCAAAATTCTTAAGCTGACGCACTTCACATTGGGTGGTGCTTTTGCAAAACATCTTCAATAACAGATTATAGGCAAGGTAGAGAGAATCCCTGTTTGCTAGAGCTGATGTAAGCATTAGTTTTGCCTTAGGAAAAAAAGAGAGGATTAAGTGCAGTACTATTTGTTTGGGAACCTATTACTTCGCAAAGAGTTTTGTGCCATCTAGGAGGGCAGAGTATTAACATGTTCAGGCATTCTGGGCTCTCTCTTACATATACATATTCCCATTAATTCCCCAAAAGTTTTAAGAATGTAAAAGCATGCTAGAATCCTAGAATCATAGAACAGTTAGGGTTGGAAGGGACCTTAAAGATCATCAAGTTCCCTTCTGTTTGTAGCACTTTTCAAAGAATGCTTTGTCCCTAAGTGTAAGAGTCCACTATTCATAAAACACACTTGCATTATGCTTTCTTTGATCTTCCTTTGGGGTAATCAATTCTAATTGATTAATCAATATTTGTGCTCTCTTAGAGTGCACGTTCTCCCCAGGTGCATGAGTGGCAATATGCCCAGAAATTGCTCTTGCATATTTGTGAAGAATATCTATAATTTATTACCTTTCAGAAAAGGGTCAAGACCTGTTTGAAATATTCTCTACAAGCATTAGCAGGCCAAAGCTCTCCAAAATAAAATTTCCCTGAAAGAGAATAGATGATCTATCACTGCTTGTGAATTTTTGCAGAAGAAAGGATTAAAACTTTAAGTGAAAGGGTGCAGCACTGCTTTGATGGTACCAGTCCCTTGAGCCACCCTGTTACTCTGATAATAGGTTCGTCAGGATTTTAACTTTTGGCCTATGGGCCATAACAGCCAAACTACATAACCTGTTGTTAATCAGCCCCAGCAAAGTTTCCTCTTAAAAGCCAAAACCAAAATAACAACTTCTCTGAATTCCATTGTAAAAAAGGAAGTGTAGAAGGCCGTGTTGGCCACTAGATGAGCTGCTGCTGCTTCTGTTCCTCCCAGTGATAAAACAGTTGTTAGGCTGAAGAGAGAAAAATTCCAGTAATAGTGACTTGGGGGTCATCCTCAGTAATGCCCAAGGCATGTGGTCATCATCTTGTTTTCTCCTTGCTGGCTTATACAAAGTAAAAGTGGAGGGGAAAGATGGCATGCAGCTTCTGATACCAGTGCCAGAAACCTCCAGCATCTGGAGCATGAAGGAGAAGGTGTGGTAACATGCTTTGTGCACGCACATAGAGCAAGCAGCCTGGCACACCATGGCAGTCCCGGGAGGGCAAAAGGAATACTAGGATCTCTGGTGACGGTGTGCCAGGCAATCAAGAAAAGCAATAAATCATACTGTGGGTCTAACAGGAAGAGGTTTTCTAGGAAGAACAGGAAGAGATGCTTTAGAACAGGAATGGGTTAATCTAACATCGCTTAAATTAATAGTGTGGGGAGAGGAAAACTAAAATTTCTCTCTTTTAATTCACTCATCTGCATAGTTCTGCTCCTAGAAGAATTTCTCTTGATTCTTTCCTGATCTGGTACTCTAGAAAAGTAGGCAAA